AATAATAATAATAATAATAATAATAATAATAACAATAATAATAGTAATGATAAATCTTTCATGCTTTGTTAAAGAATAGAAAGTCATTATCTTATTCCAATTTGCAATTGTTTATTCAAATTTTTTGAAAAAAAAAACGTATTTAATGACTAATTGCAATTTGCTTAATTTGTTTCTTTTATCCATCGAATTTCATTTGTAGAAAGGTAGAAAAACAAGAAATTCAACATTATTAACAGAAAACTTGCACAATAAAAAATTTAATTAAAAAAATTGTGTAAATAAATGAGAAGCGGAACAGTAACATACAGTACAATTACAGATGATGGCTAGATAAAATCGTTAATCATAAAGTGAAAAATATTTGTAAAAAGTCAAATCCAAAAACTTTCTAACTTTTTTTTTAACTTCGCAAGTTGACTCATTATCATTATGGAATATTTTACTTTCAATTTAACCATTTCTTTTCTCAAAATTAAAATGATTAATTATTGCAATTTCTTAATTAAAAAAACAAATGGTTTGCTTGCTATCTGTATAGATGGAATGATTTATTTTGGAACAGACTTTCATTTTACATTTTAATGAAGAAAATAAAGAAGTATAAAAATTTATTGACAAATAAGTTTTATTTGATTTGCGATAGTAGTTTTTACTTTCCATGCATGTTAGCTAATTTCATCAAATACATGGCATCATCTATATCCAACATTTTCTTCAATTATCATCACTTTCTAAAATTTGTCTATAATCCGTTCAGTATAGCTTTTCGTAGCTATGCTATATATAGAACAAAAACTGATTTATACATTTATAAATATAGCACTAGTAGTGATTACTTAGTTTTGCTGATAACAATCATTTATGGAGTAGTAACTCTCTCAATATCATCAAAAGTACAAATATTGAGATGAAAATATGCAGTCATTTATTTATTTATTTATTTATTTATTTATTTATTTATCTATCTATCTATCTATCTATCTATCTATCTATCTATCTATCTATCTTTCGCCTTCCTTTTAATAGATAAATTAATGAAAAATCTTGTGAAGTAGTAATTTTTTGTAGTTTTTTAAAAATATCTTCTTGTTTTCCTTCTTTTTTTTCTTTTTTCTTGCATATTAATAGTTGTGAATGAGGAATATGCTGAAAAGTTTTATCTCATTTCTAAACTGAATTGACAATTGTTTTTTAACTATTAAAATAACTCAAATAATTTCAATGCGATGCTTCTTGTACATGAGGACTAAGAAAATATTGCATCATTACTCGACAATTCGTGCAAAAAAATGAATGCAATTAGAACTGACACAAATTGTTAGCAAAGTTGTACTAATTTTAATCATTAAGCTTTTTACTAATAATTTACTAGATATTTTCACTTATATCTACTCTGAAATATGAAAAAAGAGCTTAATATCAGAAACAATAACTGTATTAATATTTTTCTTTTAAAATCTGCAGTTTTCTTGAACCTATCGTCCATATATTTCGTTTTCAGTAAAAAAAAAATTACAAACGAAAAAAATTTAGTGAGTGTCAGACCAAAGATAAAAGCAACAGTAACAAAAAAGTAATCTAAGAAATAATTTGGTACTAAGAAGTTTGATAATTTTAGAATTAATAAATTTCAAATAGCGAAAACTAGCTCCATGTGTCGATGGTCATTTCGAAAATAATCAGAAGTTTTTAATAATTCTTGAGATTCAGATCACTAGGGATTCAATACATCATCTTTTTCCAGTGCTTCTTGATTGTTATTGAATAAACCATATTTTTCTTATAAACCAGGCAAAGAGTATTAGTGCGGTATAAGACCAAATTTCAGAATTTATTATTTTAAAATTTTCAGAAACACAAAATTGATTCATTAGCAATAACAAACAAATATATAAAACAAAGCATGTACACAAAATCAAATGTCTAAAACACAAACAAGAACTATCACAATATGAGATGGAAGTTCTGCTTGCAAATCTGAAAAATCTTATCAGCACTTCAATATGTTGAAAAGTACTATTTGCAGTGCTATAAGTTTTACCAAATATCCCAGAACTCTAGTCTTATATATTAAATATATTGGAACTTTCAAGAAATGTGTAGCAAAATTTATGCAATGCATTCTAAACTTTGACATTATTTTCTTGTAAATTTGAATGCTGCCACGGCATTATACAAGTAACTGCTAGGCGCTTTGCTACTTTTAAAATTTGTTTCAAAAAAAATCATAGAAAAATAAGCTCAATTTATTGCAAAACACTGTAAAACTATAGTAAAGAAAAAATAATCCATTAAAACATTTTAAAAAAGCTTAAGGCATTTGATGGAATTTTTGATAACAGTTCAATACATGTGATGAATTCTATTCTTCACTACAATGAAATAAGCACGGCACCGTTTCAACAGGTATAATTTTACAAAAACACTCACTAATACACATTTTTCAGCAAAATTTACACTTTCAGAAGAATCTCAATTATGAATAAGGAATAAAACTTTTAAAAATTAAAAATATTTTGTGAGACCAAAAACCGAATCCGAATATTGCTAAGGCTTCCTCCTCAAATCATAAAACAGCATATTCTATCTATATTGATTAAACAAACAAACTTGCATTAAAACACAACTCTTTTATCGAAGGTAATCTTTCGAATGAATAATTATTGGTGTTCGTTGAGTTAATATATATCTTAGTAGAGTAGAGCTGAATTACTTCAATTCCGGTGGAGGATTATAGATTGTTTTCTCTTTAAAGTACACTTCTTCATGTTCCTTATCACATATCAGCAATAAGGATGCACCAAAAGTGAACAATGTTGCACCCCAAGCAACACCATATGACCAGTCAAACTCCCAATTTCGGTAACCGAAATTCTTCATTTCAACATAAAAGCAGACAGGGAAAACAATTAACGAGACCAGTTCTAGGAACACTGAAAATAGAGCAGTCAAGCTAATATCATCTGTAATTGCAATAAACATAGAACGCACTACCAATCACAACCAGAACACTTCTTTTTTTCTTTCCAAACATTGATTAGCTGATAAGTGAGTTAGAGTTTGATGAGATATAGAATTAGCATCTTTTAATAGTATAAAAATTTACCCCCCAGTAGAGAAAGATAAGTGGCGAATTTATAGAAAATATATTTGCAGTGCAAATCTTGCAGTCGTAAGCCGATAACATTGAGCACAAATGCAAAAACTGTCAAAACTGCTGCGATAATCAACAGTGCTGCAACCACTCTGATGTAAGCTGAAAATAAACAAAATGCCATTACAACGTTTTTATACAAAAAACTAATCTGTCAAGGATTTTTAAATTAAGACCTTATGACCCTCAAGTGTTGTCAACAATCAAACATGTAGCAAAAAATGAACATTAGTAATAATAACGGGTAATTTTGTGGTTTACGATAACTTCGAAATTTATTACATTTTGAGTTGACCTCCATTTACTTTCTAAAATTTCAATTACATTTAGAGGAGATGATACTGAAGAGAATTTTTCTCATTTTCAAACATCAAGGGACATAACACAACAAAATGTGCAATGAAAAATAAAATTAAAAGACAAAACTTTCAAAATTATCTGCCAAATTACAAGCCAAACTCTACAATTATTAATCATTTTAGTCTACAACTACATCATGAAGTACAAACTGATATTACATCTAGCTGTATTCAGTGGACAGTGACAATTACAACAATAATGTTATCAAAGGATAAAAATTTTAAATATAAAAACAAGTAAAATGAATAAGAGAAAACTTACCAGGTGATATCGAACGTTGGCAACTGTGCGCCATAAAGCAAGAATGAAAAAGTTCATTGTAGAAGAAAAAAATGCTACTATTTGCATCCAGTTTAGTGAAGTGTTCAAGCAAAAACATATAACGTAACTTTCGTGATACTCTCAGCAAAAATCAGTCCTCAAATTTTTTGAGATAAGTAAGAGACAAAAGGTCAAAACTACATTTGTCTCATCATTAAAAACATAAAACACAATCGCAATACCAATGCCATCTTCAATACTACTAACTACAAAATAGAAGAAACTTAACTGCGCAGGATATAATGTTTTTGGACAAAAGAGCTTAATTTGTGCAAGTCAAAAATCATATATTTTTTGAAAAAATTTAACATTAAAAAAAAAACTAGTAGAAAAAACTTAAAACAATGACAGCGGCCTGAAATCTTTTTTAAACACAATCAAAGCAAATTAGCTACTTGAATAATACAACACATGTAACATTGTTAGTCAAGGAGAAAATATCTAAAACTTCATTAACTTCGAAAAACATTTGATTACATAAATTGTATAGTTATAGTTGAGTTGAAAGCTAAACTGAGTCATTATAAGAAGTCAGGAATTTATAAAATCAAACAACTACTGAACGATTCTGATTATTTGAATAATTAAATTCGACCAATTATTCCAGTAGCTGCTTAATGACAAATAAACGAATCCTTATACTATATATTTAATAATTTTGAAAAACTATGTATTACTACTATTATTCAGAATTTAAATCATTCTCAACAAAGCTCATAATGATAACGATAGTAGTAATAATAACAACTATTTCTAAGTAAAAGAACGATAACTGAAAAAAGCAATGAATATTTGTCAGATATGGTGGATATAAAAAAAAAACAAGAATTGCACAAAGAATTTAAATTTCATGTATACTTTACACTATTATGCAATGATAATTCAGCTCATTGAAAGTGATTATTTAGAAAAGCAAGACCAACAATTGTTATTATATGTTTGTTATGTATACATACATTCATGTTCATATTTGTATCAATCAAATCAAATAGAAAAATTGTTGGTGCAAAATAAAATTATTTCACATAATATTCTAGCTCATTATCGCTTTACTACGCACTATGAAGAGAAAAAATGCGAATACGCAACGAATTATGCAAATTGCAGTTAAGACTAAATAAAGCAGAAATTATTCTCAAAAAGAATCAAAAAGCAAAAACCTCACTAATATTTTGTTTTTTTAACATCGTTTAGTTAAAAAATGGGCAAGTAAAAAGGAAGGATAATAAATTGTAGAAAAAAAATAGGGCTGGCAGTTCTCACTGACTCACTTCACTAAAGACACAGCTAGCAGTTAGCCAATCTGTCCATAACGGTGCAAGAAGAGAAGAAATAGATGCATACGAGATCAGTATGACATGTCCGTGAGTGCTCTTCTCGAGTAAATGCACTTACCCCAATGCTGCTGTGACGTGACAAGCTGCTCATATAAATAACGTATAAAAAACTTTGCTTGCTTCTAGGCGTGACCATTAGAGAGTTAGTCATAAAGTAATCAAGCACTGACCCAATGCAAGTATTGCGATAAATTACATGTGCATACCGATAACAGATGCTATATGCAAGTATGCAGTAGCAAACCAAAACGTCATTCACCTCATCACCACATATAATCGTTGTTTGCGTCAGACAACACATAGCGCATATGTTAAAATTTACAATACATGTTTGCTCAGAAACATTTATTTCATTTTTGAAGCAAATCAAAATAAGCTTCAGTTAGGTCTATCTTAAACTGTGGTTTTCAAGCCTTGTCAATACTGTTATTGGTTTTATGACTATTTACCCCAAAACGAAATTATGGCATATTATAACAACCGTAAGAGCCTGCTAGTTATGCGTAATATCGAACAATCATTTTGCTGAAGAACACATTTCTTACAGGAATCAAACAGAGTAGATTAACTCGTACACTTATTCTATTATCCACAAACAGCCAAACTGATTCTTAAATGCTCTATTCCGTGACTCCTTTTTCCTCTTAACGATGCGCAGATTAACATCTATGCAAAAAAAAAGGCATAAAATCAATCAATTCACATCAGACACACTGTTCGTTACACAATTTATACATGTGACCTAATTTTGTCTACTTAAATGCATATCAAACAATATGCAATCAATAACAGTTTTCTGATACTCTTCTCTACTCAAGCAAACAAAAAATATGCTTAAACAATACAATAAATGTAAATGGTAACAATCACTACAAATTCTTTGCTATAATTACTTACAAAGTAAAACGAACCACTCTTTAAACTATTTTTCAGAGTATAACTTGGCGTAACCCTCCAATGCACAGATAATAAAAACATACATAAACAAGTTATACCAAAAACACCAATAAAATGAGATCAATATAGATAGAGAAAAAAGAGCAAAATTAGCAGTAATCGATTGTTTTGTTTCTCATTTTATATAAATAATAAAAAATACTGCAAGCAGCATTATCATATCTGCAAGCTCAGCTTAAATGCTATATTTTGCATAGTAATCAGTTACTTAAATACAACAAGTAAGTGAGAGAGACACAGAATGGGGCATACACGCAGGACATAAAGATTTTTTACCTGCATGTCGGTGTATTTTCTGGCATTTTCCAGGTGGAGGCGCTCCAGCAATAGTTGGCTGTATTTGATGTGATGCTGTGCATTCCAACCAGAGACCTGTACGAAAATCTCCTGACCGAAGCCACCAAGTAGTGCACAAGCATACAAACAGAAGGATAAATGCTATCAGCAAGCATACTAATGCTATCACCTAAAATAACGAAAATTTACCCTTCTCTATTTATATTATACATTGTGCTGCATAAAGTGATGATCAGCAGCACTCTCCTTTTTGTTTCATTTAGAAGTCAAATTACTTCCACTAATTAATGGCTAATTGAGACTCAAAAATGTACAAATTTCTACGCATATAACCACGAAAATGCTGAAATGATTCATTTATTTTCATATTCAATTTCCATTCTCATTACTCTCTACATTTTGCTTTTCATGCTGCTTTTCATGTACAATTTCGTATTTTCATGGAACTTGACGACTTTTTTACTTGATTTGATAAAGATGCCTATATTACAAAGCTATATTACAATGCCTCGTATAAAATGTAACTTTGATAGAAAAAATAAAAAGGAAAATTGAATTTGACCTTTAAAGGTCTAATTACTGTAACGGTCTCAATTGTTGTTGCTTGTACTGCCATACAAACTCGTTACACTTCCCTGCAGATTAACTAATTAAAAAAAGTATTCGTTCGGAAAAAAAATAAAAGGTAACGAAGAAATTTAATACGAAATTGCAAAAGCTAAAACGCATGACCATAATTGCATTTCTTCAATAATTTACACATCGACAAAAGTAATAAGACTTTGTTGTCCTTCAGTAATAACGATAATAATGGTAATG